ACTGTTAATGGTGAATTTAATGGTTCATTAGTTGCTTATGAACTTCCACCATTAGGTGACATACGTAAAGGAAATTTTATAAAACATATTCTTGCTAGTGATTTTCGACCACTTACTCAAGCCAAAGGTCAAGGAGCACCAGGACAAGCCATAGCAATTCAATTATATTCTCTCACTGTACGAAAGAAGCCTAGTTTAATAATATCTGGTGATGATGATGGTTGTGTGTATTTCCTAGAAGCAATTCATGATGATGATCCATCAAATTGGGAATATTCAATAAAGATAATTCATCAATCTGATAAATCAACGACTGGTCAAGTTAGTGTTGAAGATGTTGACAATGATTGTCATCCAGAAATGTTTGTACCGGCTTATAATGAAGGCATTGTCTATATTTATCGACTAGTGGACAAATAAAAAATTAAATGTTTTTTTTTATTTTTAGTTTTCATTTTTAATTGATTGTTTTTTTCATCATAATTTAATTACAAGAATAACATAAATTAATTTATTGAATTTCTGTACATAATAAGTACAACGAACATTAAAAGTTCTTTTTGTCAGTTCTCTAGACAACTATTCAACAGTTGATTTTAAAGCTATCTCCAAATTATTATCCCTCATGAACAATCCATTTGTATATTCGATTAAATTAGGTCATGAAAGTCGTTTTTGAGATTATCATTTATGCCTTGTTTTAACACAGTTAGCATTGCATTGAAAACGTCGATTTTCATTCCATACAATTAAATATTTGGGTTTTGAAGGCACAAAAAAATAATATAGATTCAGATTTGAGACTACGCTAGAGTTTAATGCGATTTCAAATGAAATTCTGCTAAAAAATCTTTTGAAACTTCAAGCTTTTCGTAGTCTTGCATTTTCATAGTGAGGACTAAGACCATAGATAGTAGCGGTATGGATTTCAGACTGATCGATCTGCCGGTAGATCGATCATTGTCTCTATATCTTATTAACTTTTTGCTCTTAGCATCACATAGAGAATATGTAACGAAACTTAC